CTAACAAACCACACAATATCGACGCAAAAAAACGTAAAGCTTATGTCATGTAGTCATAATAATCAAGTTTAAAAAATTTCTTATACCTATTTTTATCTTATTATCTTAGATAAAACGTTTTATTTTACAAATTAAATAATGGTCTTATAATATTTGCGGTCTTCTTCATATCCCGCTCAATTTATTCTATTATGCTATCAGTTGATGCCATCCCCTATCGGACCCATGAAGATGGCGTCCATTTGTGGTTTGAATTGTTTTTCTTAATTTTTATTCACTAGGTCAAATATATTGCGAGAAGTCATGGAAAAAAGCTCAGTTAAATTGCCGCATTCGAAAGCTCTTATTGTTCTCGGGGATAACGAAGCCGGAAAGACAACCTTAATCGCTAGACTTTCTGGAAATGAAGACCCTAAAAAAAGTCCGGGGATCGAGTACCATCATATTGATATAAAAGATGAAGAAAGAGATGGTTGGTCTATCCTTCTGCTTACTACGTTAAAGATCAAACAAAGCTTGGAGTATGGGTCCTTGACGGTGATATGGTCTTTATTCCATTGCTCAGCAATGCATTGTCTGCCTATAATTTTGCTGATTGTATGGCAGTTTTAGTTGTTAGTATGTCGGAACCATGGAATATCATTGACCGTTTGGAATTCTGGGTTGAGTTATTAAAGAACTATATAAACAAAATCGAGCTATCACTTGAAGAAATGAATGAATTCAAAGAAAGCTGTGAGTTATTTTTAAATCACATTTTAATTGCTGTGTGTGTTCCTTGTGTTTGGATATTTAGCGTAAATTTCAGTTTTATCTCACCTGATTTTGCATATTAAAGTTCTATAAGAAGCTTAGTTTATTCACTATATAAATCAACTCCGTAACCAGAGGTTGATGATATATGGAATATATCGATGGCTTTCAAGTTTGAATCATCTTTGGGATTCGGGATGGGTAGAAATTCTAATTTTTTCTATAAATTCTGCTCCTAAGAATTAGTCAGATATCGTGACTCAGTTTTCTTTGCTACTTTCAGCCCAAAATGGAGGCCAGAGAATCCGTTTCCTTGAGCTAATAATATAAGCTGATTTCGAACCTTCAGCTTGTGTGAAAAAATAGTGGTTGGCTCATTCTGTCCAAACTTATCTCCATACGAGCTGGCTTCTCATGAGAGTCTTATCGAATTAGCACAGGTCTTAATTGCTATATAGATCCTACTTAATTTGTGAGATATTTTACCTTATACAGCCTTCCTGAATTTGGTATATTTCGCTTCTCTTGTATTTCCTCAAATTGGATTTTTTTTATAGATCTTTTCTAAAGGAATTTATGCCAGCTCACTCTTTCGGGGCCAGTTTCTGCTGGCTCACAAACCCTACGATTTCCATTTTGGTCTATTTGTCTGCATGTATTGTCCAGTCCTAATTTCTCACTTTCGTCTCCATAATATCTTCATCTTTTTTTAATCGATCGACTGGTAATTGGACATCTTGGAGTTTATGGAAAATTCTAAACGTCACATTATAATAAATTTTAATTGCGAAATAGACCATCATTTATATTTTGCTATGCGTTTACGGTGTATATAAGCAAAAGCCTTACTTGCATAATGAATGCATGGGGTATCTTAGCTTGTAAATCATAAGTATTTTACTTAACTCAATACATGCATAACCACATCGCACCGACAACTGAAATGTTCCCATTAATTTGGTAAGTAAACTAGTCAAGCTAATTAGGATTTTCGTAAGACCTTATTTCTGGAGTTTGGACAGTCGTAGCCAATGAATTGCCTTTGGTACTTAGATTCTACGTCTAACTAATTCGAATATTATTACTCTTAGAATTTCTATAGTCCTGTATACATGTATAATAGGAATAGGCAAATAAAGCTTTCTTTCATGAATTGATTAGTAATTTGAGAAGATATAATCTGTATAATCCCTTTTACTTATGTGGTCAAACGAAATAAAAAATATGACTTCGAAACCCAGTTTCTATCTATGTGCATTTACTTTGTCCAGCGAACTTCGAGGTGTCCCTTGAATATTTTTGTTTCAATTTCTATTATTTGTCAAACGTACTCTTCGTTGTACATTCAGTCCTCTATCTCCCCGCTTCACTTTGACCACAATTCGGTAGTCATATCTTGCAACATGGCATAATTTAGGATTATAGTTCCATTAAAGTATTTACAAAATTTTTACGCTTGTTTATCTACTCTAATATAATTGCTTGCCGAATCCATTGGTCAGTGGTGCGTCATTTCCGCGAATACATTGAACCAGACAGTATACTTCTGCCCCATCGACCGACAAGTAATGCATCCATCGCGGCGACTATATCATCACCTCAGCCTCCACCCAACGCCAGCACTAGTCCAACCAGCGGTCTATCAGCTGGTCTAACCTCAAGTCGCCGCCCCACAAACCCACTGCACCCGGCAACAGCACTATTGCTAAACGCATCGGCAAAATATACTAATGGGATGGATAAATCAGTCGTATCGATAAATGAATCTCCACTTTTGAGTCCACCACCATCATCCGCAGCAATTTCGGTTCTTTCGAAGGTTGAGCTGCCTCTCACTAAAGGCGCGTTGATCAATAACCTAGGCATTCCTCTTATGGTGGTGGTAACGAAAGTAAGAGAAAAATTTAACAGAATTTCAGCAGCTTATCATTTGTTCTTATTTTATGTATTTATTATTTTGGCTCACTTAAGATCACTAATTGAGATTTAGCGGAAGCAGCTTTAGGATTTCAAAGACTCTGCAAGGTGCTATTATGCCTGGGTCATAGTTACTGATGACAGTTCCTATTCTCAACGTAAATTTTAAAGTTATCCCACTTTATAATGTGTAGCATAATTTGTCGTT